TTAGCATTCCTACCATATTTCCCATGGTCTGTTAGCTTCCAACAATTAGCATTCTGCTCATATGTCTCGGATTGCTCTGACAGGAGGATTCCTCACAGACAGCTCCTGTCACCACCTGCTGCTGAGCAGCGGTGGGCAGCAGGAGATGAGCGACGGTGAGCTCTGGCTCACGTTAATAAAGTCTTAATAACAGACTCCTCCATGACATGATGGAAAGTGTCACTTGTTGCCTCCGTTCGGATGTTACTTTCTTCTTTTTTGTACCAACCGGTGTGCCAAAAAGGGTCAGATTTTTCGGCTTTTCTTCTCTCAGGGCTCGCCTTTTCTGTCCTGCTGCTTTTTCTAAGTAACGCGTGTCACGTCTCTCTTTGCTTTCCGCTCTCGCTCGGTCTGAGCCTTCATTTCTTCCCCTCTCAGTTGAAAAAATGTTTTCTCTTGTTTTTCACCCCTGCTGCCTGTCCATCAAAGTGATGCTGAGGTGATGATTTACAGGAAGAGGACTGTACTAAATATGAGCAGAGCTGGACAGTGGGCCCCTTTATCCCACTGTAATATACAAAGAGAAGCCGTGGGGACAGGGGCCCCTTGACCACACTGTGAAGGATATGAGAGCCGAAACTGGTGGGAGAACGTCAAAGCCCCATATAACACACGCACACACCTTTTCCACGTGAGAATTCACAACCTTTCTCTAACCCCATTTTCCTGAATCTTTAATGGTTCGTCTAATCCCTAATCTTCATGCTTTTGTAAAATATCTTAGCCCTAAAGGAATTTTGGATGATTTATTTAATCCCAAAATGACCCGGAGTCTCTGTAATGTCCTCCAACAATCCAAACCCTGTAGCAGCTCACACACATTTCAAGACACATTCTTATAATTTCCCCCCCAAAACTATGAGTGATGTTATAGGCAAGTATTTTTAAAATACTTAAAATAATACACATGAAAAAAATACACTAAAGGGACTATTTTGCCTCACCAGTTTATGGTGTCTGGTGCTTTTACATGTCTTCTGGCCATTTTAGTTGTTTTTATTAGTTTTTGAATGCACTTTTTTCATCCATTTTAGTTGTTTTTATTCGTTTCTGCTGTTGGGCCGACATTTGATGGTCGATTGTCTCAGAACAGATTGAAAGCATTAACTATGGTTCACTAACCTGTAGCACTGAGATGACGTTTCACTTTCTGATAACTACATTTATGGCTTCACACCAACCATAAAGATACCATCAAGCTACTATAAAACGGGGATTATAACGAGCATTAAGTGTTAACATCTTAGCCCCGACAATATCAGGAAGCCATCAGTGCCGGTTGACCTCCATAATGAGATTGTTTTATCATATTCTTTTAATGTGTACCCTCGACCTTTGGTTCTTTATTGACAGTGATTGCATATGCTCCAAGTGTAGGAACGTGTTCAGACCACGTTACTATAACATCAGAGGATGTCAACCTAAAAAATTACCTTTGATAAATTTGAAATAAAACGTCTAATCCGTCAAATACCGTCTACAGTGATCTAAAATCACAAAGTGGGTGGTGAGAGCGCCACGAGCTACAAGAGGGACGTTATCTGTTTTCCGAAAAGGAAAACAAAGGCCTTATCTTTATTGCTTCTCCGTTCATGGTGTGAAGAAACCCCCAAGCGCCATATCCCAGACCTTAGGATAGCTTTGCTTTCTTATCTTAATGAGAATCCATCCTGGGACGGATCATTTCTCATACTTAACGCGATTCGGAACGGACTTGTTCTGTGATGTCAGTGTGCCCTGCTGGGTTTTAGAGGACTCCATTCAACCCAAAGCCTTTGCGGTAATTTAAACCCTCTGTACGAAACAGAGTGGAGCAGGCCGAGGGGTTTAAATGAAGAATGTGGGTGTGCTCTTGAAGATGGGAATCTAAGAAAGGGTTCTTTCATATGGCCTCTCGTTCGTCAGGATGGAGCAAAAAAACGTGGGCCTGTTTTTGGGCTCATGAATCTCTTGGATGAAGTTTCTGCCACATGACAGAGATTAGGAGTCCAGAGACGGCACGGTCTTGTGTTTCTACCTGCCTCCTTCCTCCTCTCTCTCACACATGTTTGTCTTGCTAATGATGAGGAAGAGGAGGAGAGGAAGGGGCGCAGGAAGAAAGACACATGCCTTTTTGTTCCCCTCAGAATATCGGCACGTGAGGTACGAGGGGAGGGTCAAACCTCCTTTGGGTTCCTGATACCAGCCTGGCAGAGAGGCACTTCAGACGGTGCACAAACGGCAGGTACACAAGTGTCCATCAGAAAACCACAACCGGCCAGCAGAGCTTTAGCGGAGTTTCAAACCTCCACGACTGAATAGCTGTTTATTGAAAGGATGGCTCGTGGAATTTAACCCCAAAACATTGGAGGGATCCAGTTTTATTTGCCGTCGTTTGTATGTGACTGACCAGAAAAGGAGAAAACGGAGAAGAGAGAGCAGGAAAACGGAGACGATCCACAGTTAAAGTACCCACAAAGACTGAGACGCACACACACAGATTTACTGTTTCGAGCTAATGAGTAGCTAGACAGACCGGTTCTGAGGACAACTAGAGGTTATGACAACACAACCACAACTTTTAAACAACAACATGTTTCAAAGATTAAGACCTAATTGATATACATAAACTATGGACCATGACAAGAAGTAGAGCCCAGCCCTCTGTGGGTCATCAGACCACTGGAAGCTTTCACAAAGGTAGAGAAGGTTCAAAGTTCAAGTTCAAGTTTCACTCAGAATTTAAAAGTGGTTCACCAGAGAAGTTTGTGCCCTCAGACTTGAATTGCTCTTAAATCAGCTGAGCAAAATGAAAGAGGAGCATTCTGGAGCGATGAACTGCAAAGAAGGGAACCACGTTACAAGAAGAATTAAAAGCATGGAGGATGAAGGGACGTTTGGGTTTACTATAGAGCAATACGGCCATGTGGGAGGTCCAGTCATGCCTGTGTGATTTCCTCCTGCCTCACTTGTTTGGAACAAAAGAGCTTTTTAGGTTTCCTTTGACCACAAACTAATTACTCATAACTTCCAAAGATCATGCAGTCGGAACAAGTTGAATGTAATCAGCTTTATTCGTGTGTTATCTGGATTAAAATTGTAAAAATGAAAGCTTAAAGGGACAAAGGGACAATATGTCAGGGGAGGCATACTAAAGGTCAAAGGCATTTCATTTCACTTTCCAGATCAGAGAGTGCTGAACACACCAGAAAATACACTTTACTTCCTTCTGTCGGTAACTTTAAACATTTGTGACACGTTTATTAACTAGTTTTAAGGAGTAATTTGTTTTTATCTTTCTCCATAAACATTTGATCCTTTATCAAACCAAGTGGTAGTAAAGTACTCTATTAATAATCTCCTGGGAGGGTTTGGCCTAATCTCAGTAATGTCTGATATGTGCTGAGTAGATAAGTAGGTGCTTTTCTTACAATCAGTTTTTAACTTGTTTATGGGCATTCACAGTAGATGTTAGGTTGGCCGAACTTCCCAGGGCAGTTGAGAACTGAAATAAATCAATTCATGCCACCGGACGCTTTATTTGAAGTTGTAAATGCTTTGATAACAAAAAGTTTGTGATAATTGAAGAGGCTTTATTAAGAGGTTTAATTTAAATTTGATGATTTTATTTGGCCTAAACTCCCTTTTTTTTAATGAAAATCAGATGTTTTTTGGCACGTTTTATGTGTCTGTGTATTTTGATTTTTTTTTTGTCCTCGGCTTTTTAGTGAAGATGCTTTTAGAAATTAGTTATTGAGTTTCTGACATCAGTTTTTCAAACGTGTTTTTGGTGAAATAACTCATACAGAGACAGAGTTTCTTTGTTAAATCTGTATGTATTAATAATGTTACAGCTGAGTAACAACTGCTTTCTCTCTGTGCCTTCAGCCTTCAGGTCGACTGTCCAACCTCCAGAAAAAACATCCTCTCAGGCTGCATTCACCCCATGTAGCCCTCCATACATGCCTGCTTTTCCTTTAAGTGATTCACAGCTCATTTAAAACCCACTGCTGTTTTATTACCCTCCCAGAGACACAGATCACAGTTTATGTACAGTAGCCGTTGTCTCCCCGAAGGCCACAGAAATCAGTCAACAAATTATTCGGTGTGTTTTCTCGCTGTCAGAGACGCCTACATTTTCAGATATTCTGCACCACAGAGCTTTAAACCCAACTCCAAAATGGCCCCATTTGTAATCCACAGCTTGATGAAAGAGTTCATACAACAGAAACACATCATTTGAAGAAAGTGGTGCAGAGTTAACTAATACTTTAGAAGGAATCCAAATAGGAAAGGCAACCTTTCCATCTTTCCATCTCTCCCACATAACACAGTAACACAATCAAAGGAGAGTACAATGAGACAAAGGAGATTTTTATGTGATTGGATCTGTTACATGTTCTGAACCATAAAATAGCCACTTGATTTCTGTTACAGGGGGAAACTTCTGTTCAGAAGGGAGGCATCGATGAGCTCTCATTCAAAGAAACAACTGGTACTTTCGATAGTATGCAACAAGCAAGAATTGCATTTGATATTACATGTTTGAGTTTATTTTCATTTGATCTAAGCCCTTCATGCTGTGTGGCGTTCTGATTTGTTCAGATTTGTGGTGCTACTGCTCTATTTCCTGATACTGAACAGACTTTTACTTGCATTTGATCAGACGGTGCATTGTTAACTGAGTCTACCTCCCTTAATGCTTAAAAATCACCCAGATGCAGATTCTTAGAGTTTAGTTTTACTCAGTGCCTCTAAAATGATGAGGTGAGTTTCACTTGTTCCAGTTCCATGCTGATTAAAGACAAAATATTGCTCCATATTCCGGAGAAGCTGTGGCGGGACAAATGATTAATGATGACCTGACAGAAAAACTAAAAATTATTAAATGTTCCGACCTCTAAACTCTCGGACACAGCTTGATGACTGTTAAATTTAGACTTTCTCTCCAGGTTTTACCTAAAAAACGCGAACAGAAAAAGCTAACTCTGCATGAAGAGGTGAAAATTTGCCCGGGTGAACTCCTGATGGATGGTCTCCAGGAGGACGTCCTCTTCATCCTCCTGGACGCCGTCCGGCCCACCCTCCCTCCTCGCGCCTCCGGCCGGTCCCCGGGGGGCCGGAGGCAGGTGGAGCTCGGGGGTGTAGGTGAAACTGAAGGGCGTCCGATATATCAGGCTGTCCATCCTGACTAGAGAAAGGGGAACGGTGATGGGGCGCCGCAGGCAGCGCCAGCCGTCGGAGAAAACCGTGACGTCCGGAACCACGCACAGCAGCGACCTGGCTGACCTGAGCCGGACAGAGACAGACGCCGGTCAGTGGGGGGCTGGACTGGACCAGCGTTCTAAAAACAATTCACCGGATTCACGATGGGCCTAAAAGATGTCCAGCAGTTTGTCGTGTTCCTTTAGACCCCTCGAGTTTTATAATGCTAGAAAACTAGGCTGTTGATGTAAACGTTAATAATGATTGCCAAACAGAGGAAAGATCTGGAGATGGAAGCTTAAAAAAAGTTGTAGCCTTTAATGAGGGCTCCTCACAGTTTTCCATACAGCGTATTTCAACTTTATTTAGCTTAATCCAATCATTTAGAGACACTAAACACATTATGTCTTTACCAAATTGTGCTTATTCTGTATTGATCATCCGTTCTTTCTATTGAATTGTCCTCCTGGTGTATTAAAAGTTGTGGCCAGAGGGTTGGGGGTTTATTTAGTGTCAACTGTTTTGTTTGCCCCCTTGTATTAAACATAGTTTAGCGAAACCAGAATTTAAATTGCCTTTATGTGTCTGTCAGTGTGTTGGTGGGTCACTTTGTTTTGTTCCTATAGTTCTGAGTTTAGTTCTACAATGTTGACCTCTTTTATGGGCCTGTTGAATTGAATTTTTGCTTGGGAGATATTTTTTGGTCAAGAAAAAGAAAACATTTTTTAACAAAAGCACCTGTGTCCCTGTTGTGGAACTAGAGGGGAAATATAATCACGGCAAAATAATTTTCACGTCTGAGAATGTCAGTGATTGCATGAGGTGAAGATCGGTCAGTTGAAAGATTGGCCGTCCAAACCGGAAAAACTTTGTAAAACACAATTTAACCGTTGCTCAGATATTATCTGCATTTTCTTGAGTTCACTTCCAAAAAAAAGAAGGTTTTTTGGAATTGTCAAACAAAGGTAATTGATTATGATATACAACTAATAAATGCACAACTACAAAATGATTGGTGGAGATTTTCTTGAAGTCTGGACATATTTCAAAAAGACAAAGAAAGTAGAGTGCCAGGAAAAAAGAGAAGCAGGAACTGTTTCAGGAAACTCCATGACTGTCCTGACTGATTCAGCCAAAGCCCAGAGGAGCGTCTCTGGAGAAATCTTAAAATAGCCGTGCACTGATGCCCTCTGTCCAGCCCATCCGAGCTCTGTGGATGATTTCCAAAATAATCTGAGGCTGCTATTCTGAGACTACCAAAGGTGCTTTATCTGAGAATGCAAAACCAGAGGATCTCTGTCCTATTACTTCTTTGTAATATTAAAAAAAAGTTTCCTTTAGCTGTGCCAAATATGGGTGTGTTCTATAGGATTAAAATCGCCCGACAAAATGAACAGTGACGTTTTTCCAAGTTTAAGTGACAGAAAAACTGAAGGGAAGCCATGCGTGCTGAAATATGAACTTGTTGGGACCTGTTGTGCAAATTGCTCCAAACAGCATGTTTTGTAAATGTCTTCTTTCAGCATTCTTCTTCTTAAATGTCTTAGCTTGTATGATCACGCTTCCCGATTGGACGCAGCTTCTCAAACGGCACTCTGTGCAGAACTGAGTTATTCATATCCTCTTTTCCCTCTCCGCTGCGGAGCTCCTGGAAGGAATCTTTGCAGAAACTCTGGGTTTGCTCTGAGTTACGATGCCTCAGCACTTTAGGTGTGGGATCTGAGGTGGTTTTCTGACGTCAGAGCGGCTGCTTTGGTCCGGGATGGCTTCTGTGAGGGGGCGCATTAATGCCCAGATTGTGTGGAGACCCTCTGTAAATCACAGGCTCCGACACAAGTGTTAGAGAAGACTGTTTCCTGTAAGCCGAGTGGAGTTACTCCTACTGGTGTTTGACTTAAACATTAGACCCTTTATGCCCCTGTGCTCCAACCTTTAACACACTTTAACCCAGGTGACTGGAGTTTGAGTCCAGTGTGGAACCTTTGTTTGTGCTGGTATGATCATCATTTGTTTGGCCTTTCAAATGAATTTGTCCCAAATAGCTTATTTTGAAGTAAGGTCAGTAGTTTGGATTAAAACAAATCCCTCATTAAGTTTTATTCACATGTTAAAAGACAAGTCACTCACAATGACTTGTTCCTTCACTTTTGGGGGTTGATTGGTGTCTAATAGTCAAATGATTCATGAGAACAAGTCAATCTATCCAAAAAGAAGACTCTCAAAACCAACAAACAGGTCCCATTGGTCCGATCATCCGCTGTGCTTTATGGAAATTCCATACCAAAAAGGTAAATCTCTACTTGCTTCCTCTCAGTTTTACGATTTGTGAAAATGCCCCCTAAATGTCTCCGTTTCCTTCTGCTTTTATGCTCTGCAGTTCTTAGAAGTCTCACTTAAGACATCAGCTCTAATTCTGTCCTGATGCTGGTGAACTCAACACCGGGGGCCTCTTCGGCGAAGTGCGGGAGCACGGAGCGGTCATAAATAAAGACAAGGCCTCTGAGGCGAGGGGCTAACCCCAGAACAGAAGGAACTTCTGCGGTTAGCTCATAAACAAAGTCCATAATGTTACTACCGACTTTTGCGACTCAAAAAATGATTAATTCATTCAGTTGAGATTTTCACCAGTTTATATAACTAGAAAAAAAGCTATCAAAGAGAAAAAATATGTTTTAGCGAGATGTGAGAGGTGCATCTTTAATTTAAAACTATCTGGTGAATGTTGGGAAATATGGAGATGATCTGCAATTCTGAAATATGAAGGTATGAGTCTCTATAGTAGATATCCACAGGATTATTATGTTTTCATATTTTAATTTCAGGCGTATTTCAAACGTGTTTGCAGTCATATGTGATTCTATATCTGATATTTGACTGGCTTTATACCGATTCTCCTCTAAGTTTGTTAAAGGTACATAGCAATTCTTTCCAACCTTGCAGAGAAACTCTCTTATTTGCTAATATATTCATTCTCCTTCCTACAGCACCCCAGTTCTGCTCTGACACACTTTACTCACTTGAACATGGTCTCAGCCTCACTGTTGCCGAACCAGACTTTGAGATGAGGACTGAAGTTTTCCCCGTCGACCTCCAGCATGGCAACGTGTCCTCCCCCGTTCACCTTAAATCGAACAGAAAAAGCACGTTTAATCCTCTGAAATTTCCCCATTTATTAAACAGGTAAAAAGAATCCCTGACGTTTTAAATCAATTTCTAAGTGTGAGTATTAGTCTGTCGCGTTGGGCAGGTGGAGTCAGTAAATTAATTCAATTAAATTCAATTCAATTTTATTTCTATAGCGCCACATCACAACAACAGTTGTCTCACAGCGCTTTCCAAACAGAGCAGGTCAGACCCTACTCTGAAGATAATTACAGAAACCCAACAATTCCCACCATGAGCAAGCACTAGGCGACACAGGCAAGGAAAAACTTCCTTTTAACAGGCAGAAACCTCGAGCAGAACCATGGCTCAGGGTGGGCGGCCATCTGCCTCGGCCGGTTGTGGGTGAGGGAAAGAGAGGGCAAGAGAGAGAGAGGGCGAGAGAAAGACAATCAATAAAGATGGACGAGATATTGGTAAAAAAAACAGCTGACCTCTAAGCTTGTGATGACGGGAAAGGGGCTGATTGGTGTCTGAATGCAGGCCAGACCCTGGTTAAAGGTGAACTCCACTGCTTCGACACCGATAATGGTCCAGCAGGATCCATCGTTCAGCACCACTCTGCTGGGGTCTCTGGCGCTGGGCGGGGCCTGGCAGGGGGGGGGGGGAGGGGGGAGAGGAGCAGAGGCAGGAGGAGGTGGAGATGGTGACGTGTGGATGAACATTCAGGGACAGATGGAGGCACCAGGAGGGAGAGAACAGGAGGAGAAAGGAAACGGGATGGAGGGGAGAGAGGGTCCGACCTGATGCTGCACGATGGCGTCGTTTGAGAGGCAGAGATAAGCGTTTTGGTCGTCTCTGAACTGGAACGCACACTTGTGGAGCTGAGAAACTGGCTCGTCCACGTCCAGGATGGCGTGCTGCTTGTTGACCTTCCGAATCACCTGGAGGCACCAAAAAATCTCAGGAATGGTTTCAAAAAGTCCAAACAGAAGTTCCCCAGAAGAAAAATAATTCTCCACTCTATCGTTTTTTTTTTTTTTTTACTTCTGTGACAAGGAACCTGTCATTTCGACATCCTGAATATCTAATCATGAACCTCTGATCTTTCCAGCTCTGTTAGGCTGTTTTAAGCTAAATGAGAACTCCTTCAAGCAAGCCGAGTCAAAGAAAGCAAAGAGAAGTTTTTAATATTCTCACACAAACCAAAGAAATTGGTCTGAATAAAAGTTCAGAGGAATAAAAGCAAATATCTTCTTCTGATTTCATACTAATTCATCTCGTTTCATTAACACGTTCCAGTCCAGGACTGACAGTCTCTGCTCTGTTTCAGTGGGTGATTTGAACTTCTGAGGTCAACTCTAAAACGTATCTAGAGAGCTGAGATGAAGAGACAAAAGAGAAAGAAAACAGGACAAGTTTTCACGTTCTACAGTATGAACCAGGGACGGATGTCAGATATGACATGACCATTAGAAAAAGTATTAATTCCCCCTCATTAAGCTGACTATGAGGTACATTAAGGATCTTTGAAGGCAGTCACCAAAAAAATCACTACTTTTTCTGAAACCTGGCATTGTAAATCCCTTTGTTTGATGTAGGCAGTAAAGACTGTCTGTAATAGGTGTCCAGTCTCAGGGCATTCACCTAATAAGGTCTCATATATCTACAATTTCACTTTTGTGAAAATATAAACACAGTTCTTGGCAAAACTTTGTGAGAAATCACTTCCAGGATGATGATTCTCAATTCCCTTGTCTGCAATGTAAATGTTTTAGCTTGTTTATGTTTCAGACGTGCTGCTATATCTGGTGGGCTTGAAGCCAGAATATGCACCAACCTCCTTTTGTTTAGAGTCGGTAAAGCTGGATTTTTACACAAAAAATGACCCCTCGCCTGTATTTATTTGCAAGCAGCAAACAAAAATGTTGTCATTTCTCTGCTGAGATTTTCAAAAGGAGTTCAGACCATATCATGGCCAGGTGGTCCGCACACAGATGGAGGTACCGCGGCGACTTAGCATTAACACACTTAAAAAACACCCAGACTCCATTCCACTCAGGATATTAAATGCTTTGTTTTCATTCGTCTGCAGATCCAGCTGAACCCGGCAGTCTGTGCATTCACCACACCTCCCCACAATCCTTGAACTGTGACCGCAACAGAAATCAGAGCCGTGGTTCCCTCTCACGCCAGAGACTTAGTGGGTAAAATCTCTCTATCTTTAAACAAACCGTGCAGAAATAAGCCTAAACTGCAAAAATATATGGCGGCGTATAGCCTGAGGGTACGCCTTAACCGTCCTCCTCCAGGCTCACAGCTCAGGGTGTTGTGTCAGCAGCCGAGGAGGTGAGCAGAAAAAGGTCTGCTCAGCCTAACAACAGGGATGGAGCCTCAGGTGGATAAGCAGGTTACATAACACCTGCCCAGAAAAAACACCCGCATTAAGAAGATCAATTTTAACTTGATTTAAAATAGGCTCTTTTCATTCTGAAGTAGTTTCAAACTCCTAAAACTGAATAATCCAACTTTTCACACTTTTTTTTATCTTATACTGAACAAATTCAAATATAAATACAACACAAATCCCTCCTATATTTCCCTTTTTCTTAGTGGTAAATAGTTTCATGTAACTTTGTTCTGGCCAAAACTGTCAAATTTCATTAAGTCAAAAGTCATTAAGACAACCGTCAGTCAAAATGCTTTAATTCTTAAACAGCCCATTTGCAAACGTTATATCCTCAAGTTGTTTTCTATAATCTTTCTTGCATAACAGAAGCTGGCAGCCACAAATTTCTGAATATATCCATTAGCATTGCAGACGAGTGACAAACTGTATTAAAAGAAAAGTGTCTTTTGATCTACCCTCTTTGCTCAAAGCAGCATGTGTGCGTCTTGATTCTATTCAGCTACAGCAGGAGTCAGGCACCATTTCTACCAAAAGAATCATTTAGAAATGTATAACAGAAGAAAAAAGGTGAACACTCTGTTTCTATCTGCAGATATTCAGGAGGCTTATCCACAATCATGTAAGTGTGCATATGTGTGTAGAACTGCCTTTCTGCGTGTGTGGGGTCAAATCCAGGACCTCCTATGTCTGAGGGTCAAACAGTTTATTCTCAGAGGGTGAAATGATGTCAGACTTTAGAATTTAGTATGGTTAAAAATGCAGATGATGGTTAGGGAAAATGTGTCTTAACCCCAAGAAAAACCTTCACAAACACAGTAAAGCAAAGCTTACGAGCACGTGTGTGTCTTACCATGGGTGGCAGAGCCACTCCTGACTCAGGACAAACTAACTGGACCACAGAGCCGTAACAGATGAAGGCTTCACTCAGCACAAAGCCCCCTTGGTCAGCACGCTGGTCATCCACTAAACACACATACAGAAAACCCCTCATATCAACGGAAAAAACGTAGACTGTCACACACTCCCTTTGCAGGGATAAAACATCGGTTTAACATTTGCAGTTTGAACGTTTTTTTTCCCCTTTTGTGGCCTAACTCTGCTGCCCGCTGATGAACAAAGACACATGGACAGTGAGGGTGTGTGTGCTGATGGAGGGGAGGACAGGCCGCTGATGGATGAACGACTGAGGCTGAGGTTTGGGTCCTGGGAGGTCCTTACACTTTGAACACGGCGAGCGCTGCATAAATAACCTCACAGATCTTTAGGCTCGTTCCTCCGGACGCGTGTGAGGAAAATGCTGGTGAAAAGCTGCCCATACAGTGACTGCATTAATGCAGGGTGGCCGGCCAGCGACTGGAAGGCACAAGCTTGATGCCAGTCTCAGTTTGTCCTGTTTTGATGTCTCTGACATTATGTCCACCGTCTCAGTACGCAAGACTATAAAATAAATCGTATTCATGCAGATTTCACAGTATGATTGTGACACTTCACCTGATTTTACGTTACACAGTTCAGCTGAAAAGTTGCGCCAAGTCTGAATCTTTGCTTCAACTTTATGCACATTATATATATTATAATGTAATATACATATAATATATATACATTATATATATATTGCACATTAACAAATATTTCTGAGTGGCGTATGGCATGGCTATTCTATTTCAATGGCATTCAGGCCTTCTAAACTTTTATAAAACAGAGACAGAGACATATGTTTCACACAAAACGACATATTCACATTTTCTTCTGCATTTTGATCATTTTTATACCTGTGTTTTTTAATTTGAAGCTAACAGTCGAATCGTACGCTGACTCCATCGTGACCTTTTTTTGTTTAAGACACGTCTTAATCCAGACACAAAGCTTTGGACGTACAGCGTACACACACACACACACAAGCGCGCGCGTTTACCCATGGTGATGGTGAAGGCCGTCCACTGCCTGGCGCTGGCCACGAAGGCTCCTCTGTCCACTGAGAGGTAGCGAGTGCTGACCGTCTGAGAGCGTAGGCGGTTGAACAAAGCCACTTTGGAGCAGGAGGAGATGCACACTGGAAACACAAACACATTCTGTAAAAACACTGCGATGAGGTGATAAAGTGTACCTTTAAACCCCTGAGACACGTGTGTTTTTATTCACATCCAAACTGAATCCCTCTCTCTGACTCCATCAAAGGCAGCAAGAAACTTGGGTGTCATGATTGATGACCAGCTGACCTTTAAAGATCACGTTGCCTCTGTTTCTCGATCCTGTCGCTTCGCATTACTAAACATAAGAAAGATCCGGCCGTACCTAACACAACATGCTACCCAGCTCCTGGTGCAGTCTATGGTCATCTCCCGCCTAGACTATTGCAACGCACTCCTGACTGGTCTCCCGGCCTGTACAGTAAAACCTTTACAAATGATCCACAACGCGGCGGCGCGTCTGGTCTTCAATCTGCCCAAAAAATCTCACGTCACCCCTCTGTTCATTGAACTCCACTGGTTACCTCTGGCTGCCCGTATCAAATTCAAGTCCCTGATGCTAGCCTACAAAGTGCTTAAGGGTATGGCTCCCATCTACTTGAATCCCCTTGCAAAGGCTTATGTCACAACTCGATCACTCCGGTCATCAATGGATTGTCGTCTAGCAGTGCCTTCACCATGCTTAAGACAATCCAGACTGTTTGCATGTGTCGTTCCAAGATGGTGGAACGACCTACCAAGCTCCACAAGAACAGCAGAGTCCCTGTCTGTTTTCAAGAAACTCTTGAAGACCCACCTCTTCAAAGAGCATCTCCTATCCTAACCCTAACCCGTACCTCTACCCCCCCACAGCTCCTTCTGTGGTCCCCTCTACCTCTTTCTCTTGCTGTCACTACTGACTCTGATCAGTGTTTCTCCTCTATATAGCTTATTGTCATAGTGATGAGAAATGTAATATTGTGTCTACTCTGTAAGTCGCTTTGGATAAAAGCGTCTGCCAAATGCATAAACATAAACATAAACATTCCCGGACCCTCCGTGGTGGAATGCGTCTCGTGGGGCATTTTAGGTCATGTCTGGATGGGCAGATGGGCGCATGCAGCTCTGTGAGAATGAGCAGAAGCCCATATCTCTGCCCCTGTCAGGGTAACAATGGAGGCTCCTTTGGCTCAGTTTCTGTGCATTATGTCACCGCTGTCCTTTAGCCGGTTGAAAACTAAGACTCTAAGAATACAGGTTCTTCAATACTTGCTATACCAATACATATTGATTAACAGAAAATTAACATTAAACTGAATTTTGGTCGGAACCTGGTTCTGGAGGTCTGCTGTCCTGGTTAAAAACACTTGATTTGGGATTTTTGATATTTTTGGAATATTGCTGAGTATACCAACTGTGCATTGACATGAATCAGGTATGCAGAAGCATTAAAAAAACATCTAAAACGTGCTGGACAGAAGCCCCTGAGGACTGGAGTGTGAGATCTGACTGAAGATACATTTTGTTAGTTTCAAAGTCTTAAGTTAAGTTCTTAAAACTTTTTAAACAAGTCACAGAAATTGTCTCATTTGTAAAGAAAGAAGAGACAACAAACATGAAATCAGTGGAAATGACAGTGTAGAATATTTTGGAGGCATCATTTGAATAGTTATCATATTAACAGGATGATTTGTTTGGCTTTTTGGTCTCAAAACCATTCAGCTGCATCAATGAGTTGATTTGTGTATGAATTACTGGATGACTAAATAGTTTCTGCTTCATTCGATTACACAATATATCACCAGGCTCATCACCAGCCTTCAAGTGGGATATTTACCAAGTGTCTGTTTACTTTTATCACAGTTGGTCCTTTGAAAAATACAAGAACAACAGAACATCCTATTTGCTGGGGTGAAAAGTGAGACTCACAGTCAGCATTCTTCATAGACTGTCTCTTCTGGGAGGGTTTGGAGATGACTTTGATCATCTTGCTCTGGAAGGATCCCACTTCCTGTGTGTTGCCCAAGAAGAGTCTCAGCACCAGGCTGAAGTGTTTCCTCTTGTCCTGGTCAGAGATGAAGAGGGACTTTGCACAAGCAAAGAGCTGCTGCAGAGAAACAGACAGAAGGAGAAAGTGATACAAATAAATACATATACATTCATATAAGCTGCAGTTTTGTTGATGGATTAAAGTTTGTATTGGAGTTTTTTTGGAGTATACACTTAATTTTAACCACACTGTTGCACAAAGAGCTTTGAATCTGATAATTCAAGCTAATGCCAATGACTTCAAGGCAACACGTAACACTGTAGTTCCTCTAAAGATCCGAGCAATTTAAAACCATTCCCTCACATACATTTTTTGGGGGGGGATTTACAGTGGCTACACTTTCCATGAACTTGTACTTATGTACATTCTTTAAACTGATAACGCTGGACTCAGAAGTTGTTTAGAAATGTGTCCAAGACATTCCTGCAGATTTTCCCTTTTTACTGCTGGCTCCAGGGACTGCTTCCAAACAAGTGTATCTATTTATTTGATCATTTTGTGTTTTGGCACAATGAAACAAACTGCTGCAATCATTACAAACCTCGGGAAGGGAGGGCGGCTTAGACTTGAAAGACATGTTGGAAGCTTTCAGCACCGCCGGATTTGCTTAAATGTTTGTTGTGCAACAGATCTGGCCCAGAAAGAAAAAGGTCACCGGTCTGTGAACACAAACCCCTGGTGCAGAACTTCACCATTCGCCTGCGTAAATGAAGACTAACTATCAATATCATTTTCTTATTAACAGAGTATATATTCAAAGACATTTGTTCAAACCCAATCATTTAAAACGACTCTGTTTAAAGTACAAATTCAACACAGAGGTTATGAAAAAGAATCCTAATTAATTTTTGAAGGAAGGTTTGGACATCTCTTCAACACCTGTACTGAAACCATGGCCCTAAAAAACAAATAACAACAGGAACAAACAAGTTCCTGTGCTTTGTGGGCCAGTCATGAGCATCTAGCAGGCCAACCCCTTGGCAGACAGATTTTCATTAATGAAATACATCCTTTGAATCTTTGGAATAATGTATTCTGACCCGCTTTACCGCCAGCCAGCTTGTTGTGAGTCTAACGGCAGCATCTGCATCCATTTTTAAAACAACCCAGAGATAAAGATAAACTCCTTCTCATTTATAAACCAGCCTCAGGTCTAGACAACCAGCAGATAATGTATGCATGAAGTCCATCTTCTGGTTATGATTACAAAATGTTGTTTTTCGATTAAAACCTCTGAAACCATGTGATCAAACCCTAACCCTGAAGCACGTTGGGAAAACATACTGTTCTGTAACCCTCAGCCTTGAAGCTAGGAGATGATGTGACTTCCACTTCGACACTATTGATCAATTGATCCAGTGGGTGTTTAAATAGTGAGCAGTACTTAACATTGACATTTTCCTCCTGATACATGACCGACACTGAATTTATTTTTCACTTAAAACAATTTTCGCATCAAATGGATGAATGTGGAGAAGTAGGAAGAGCAAAACTAGCCATGCCCCCCGAGGTGCTAGACCTGGTGGATGCAGATACTGTATGTCCTCAGAAAAACTGTACAGTAAATAGATCCTCAGGTTGTGAAAGCTCAGAGTTTTCTTACCCTGGAGTTTGGCTGCTCGTCAAAAACCAGTTTGAATGTGTCTGCCTGCGACTGACTGGAGCTGTCCAGACACATGTAACCGCATGTGCGATAAACCGAGTCTCCATAACCAGCCGCTGCAAGCAGGTAATACAGAAAAAGGAGTGACAAGGAGAAAAGATGAGAAAAATGGAGAGGGAATAAATCACACAAAAACACCAAACACCATTACTGCACCTTTTAAATGGTCCTGCATGACCCTCCACCCCTGACCCCTGATATAGACACATGGAGGAGGGCAGAAGAACCTGGAAAACATGAATGACCAATGAAATCAAAGGCTTTTGGATGTAATTAAATGACACATTGTTAGACACAGACAGTATAAATTATGTTTTTTGTAACTCGAATTATCCCCTCCTCTAGTTAAGTGAAACCCCATAAAAATATGCTGTTAAGCTCTAAAAATGTTTCTGTTCACTGTGTCTTTCCACAGGAGCATGTTCAGAATCTTCAGACCGTTTCTCGTTGCCGTAGGACTTCTGGGCCACCTTGGCGTGCAGGATGATGATGCTCTGGTCCGCGTGGGCCTCTCTTCCCACCTGCCGTGTTGCTCCCAGTAGCTGGCATCCCTGATACCCCGGGTCCATTCTCCTGATTGGACAAAGCTGCTCTCAGTCAACCATAGAACACACAGTCTGCCTAACAGAGGAACCATCAGGAGAAAGCTGGAGGCAGGTGGAGTCAGACTGTCTAAACAAAGGTACTTATATCAATTTATATTATATATTTTATTATATCAGTTTGATATAATTTTGGCACCGCTTGAAACAAACACATTTAGCTTTACATTTCAATTGTGATTGTCTTATTCTGATTTTTTCACAGATTTTTTCCACTGATATTCTCCATGAAATGCACTGGAAATATTCAAATTGGTAATTTTCTATTTGTCAAATGTATGTAATAATCGAAAAAAAAAAAAAGAAAAAGCTGAGATGATAGAATGAGATGACGTTTTCCACTCATGAACGTGTCTACGCTTTTCCCTCCAGATGTTCAGTTAAACAGCAGGCTAGCGACTGAGTGGCCGCATGGAGCTCCGCTAACAATGGCCGCTGTCACATTTACTGTGTTTGTCCTCTGCTGTAGCAGTGTAATGGGGAGCCAGACACAAAGTTACAACCCCGGGGACCCGGAGTCTGGAATGTTGCTCATAATGAAGGCTGTCGACATGAAAAAGGAGGAGAGCGGCACAGCCGAATGATGGATGGGACTGAAAACATATCTATAAATGATAAAAACACAAAAAATGAACACCAGCATGTGTGGGTTGGATTTCTTTCTTTATGCGTGTTCAAGATTATGCCATAATATAATCTCAAAAAAAGTTACCCTCTTCAAATCCTTATCCAAAATGTGAATAAATAAAAAAGCAAATGTTGCACAAATCAACCATCTTTTTTCCACCATTCTTTTCAGCTGTGTTCAGGTGGCCAAGAACTGTTACTCAGAATATTAAACCTGCCCGGCAGGAATTCTGCGAGCAGAAAATGAAACCATCAGAGAAATAGGACAAGACGTGAGCGCATGACCAAACCGAAAAAGAACATTCTGTATTTTGTAGTTAAGTACGTTTCTAGGAATATTTTCCCAGGATGTAAAAATGAGTCAGAGAGAAAGCAGCAGGTGAGATGACCACATACGTGAGCAAAAAGTCAGAAGTTAACAGGACTCGTGTGAGTCTCAGCTAAAAAGCTCCAAAGAAAACAGGTCTCTGGGTCCTGTTGCCCAGGCCCCAATTCAGACAGGTTTAATCTTTAACAGAGTTCTATTCAATTTTTTTAGAACACAAGTCATAATTGGTTACCTCTGACATTAACCAATAAGCATCAAATTCAGCACTGTTTTTATAAAACAACAATAAAATAGCATGGATATTTGGTTGTGGATTTTATCAGATAATGGGCTGGTGGAGCTGATCAGAATGTCAGAAATGATACTTTTGCAGAGGAGAGCAGTTTAATCACAACAACTGGCCTGATGTGCCTGATGTGTTTGTATGGAGGCCTGTTTCTTCCTTAGAAGAGGTGCTGATCCAGATGTAAACTTGGATGAATACCCCAGTTTTCTACAGCTTGAGCTTTTCTTCCATTCAAACTTTCAAATCAGACCGGATGTCTTTTTTTTCTACTGCCCACAAATTTTCAACTGCTCACCATCCAGTGTTGGTAGATTTAGTTATTACAACCACACTGAGTCAGGCCGCTGCTCTCAGCTTTATTCCAGCAGAAATCATCCAAACTTTGGAACAATGTTACTATATTACAAAAGTAAGTCTTTTCTTTTTTTTTATAACGTGAATGTGCATTTTTATGAGACTTTTGCTTGGAAAACCAGAGTTTTGAGTCCAAATCTTGTTTCTGCTTCCCCTTAGTGGCCAGAAAATACACATGAATAAACCATAAACCATCCATCCATGTCCTTTTTTGGTAACTGAGTTTCATTCTTGTATTGACAGTTTTATCATATGATAATCTAAATAACTCTGGCAAGCTCCACACAGCCGAAAAGTTCTGCTTTATTAATATTAAAACTCATCTGGTCCATCATCTAATCCAGACCTCAGATAGCGACACCTGAATTCAGATCAGAGCTTCCTGTTGTCTTACCGAGCTCTGAGTGTAGTCTGCTGCTCATACCCCCAAACCCCCCCACCCCTCACCCCCCCTCACCCTCTACCCCGACAGTTGTGGCTCAGGCTAGAACTGTGTGCTTGCGGTCAGTCACCCGGGTGACGGCAGCGGTCAAAATGAGAGCTTCCCATCTTCAGAGGTCAAAGGACAGTAGGCCAGGAGCTCTGGGCTTCTGGTATTTCACACTGGGAACCGCATGGGCTGGGGACAGAGGAGGGGAAGGAGGGAGAGGAATGCACTTTCACCTCCAAAGAGATACGTCTTCTGGTCAAGAGGTTGCTCTGGCAGTAGAGAGTTGTGAGGACTACAATTACCGTTAGCTACTGTCAGGACTCAACAGGTGTCAGAGCAATAAAAGAAAAAACAAATGGAAGCTTACAATGGACAATTTTTCAATTTAAGTTTTGACTTTGCAAAGTTTACAACCATTTGAATTTTGTTTGGTGTAATAAAATGATATGTCTGTTTCTTAATTATAGTTTCAATGGTGCTAAGAGCCCTAGAATTTATTAAACTTTGCCAAGAACCAAAGTAAATGACAGTAACTGAAGTTTGTTCCAGCTGACCTGGATTTAATAAAGCTAAAAAGAAAAAGAAAAAACATTAATGTCTAGTATAATAACTTCGTTTAGACTTTCCAGACAGAATTCCATATCAGGAAAGCACGATGCCAAGTCAAACATTGGATTATATTAAAGTTTTTCTGTGAGGAGGGAAAAGGAGTCAGTTCTGGTCCACCTGACGCGTGCGCCACGATGCTCTCCACGAGGCTCATCTCATCTCAACCCATCTCCACAATCCCCCAAACTTTCCCAACCCCTTTTTTTCAGATTTCAGCAGTGGGAGGGTGGGGTCTCCACCTCCCCTGCTACGTCCCCTCCTGGCATTCTAATACCTCCACACCATCCTCCAGCAGCCTCATTTCCCGCAGCGCGCAGAGCCTCAGGTCAGGTCCCGAGCGCATTTTCGCGTCCAGGCGCTCATTCCTCACAACGCGGTGAGGGATTTCCCTGAGAAAAAGTTTGGGATAAGCCGCTCACCAGCTGCGAACGGGTTCCTCTTTTTTTCGGGAACACCGGGGGGGGGGGAAGGGTTTTTTTTTTTTTTTTTTTTCGTGGCAGAGGTCTAGGACGCAGCCGGTCTTATACCTGCCCCATCCGCCCGTCCTGTGCGCGTCGTGCCCACCCAGCAGAGCTCCCAGGTGAGTCAGGGGGCTGATCGGGCCCGGGGACAGGGTCAGGGGGTACAGCAGAGCCGGGTCTGCGTGGGGGGGTCCGGGCTGGGGCGCCGGTGTCTCTGTGGGGAGGAGATAAACGGTCAGTTTTGGTGCCACAGCTGTTAAACCATCACTTAATTCTTTAATAATGAGGAAGAAAAGAGGACCTTATGAAAATGTGCAATTTACTTGTGACTTAGATCAGATCTGCAGACTTGTGCAAGAGAAATTATTGAAAAAAAACACTGTCGTTACTTCAATTAATCAGAATTTGATATTCAAAACTGGTTACTTTTGGAACTTATTGTATTTTTATCATTCTTTTGAACCCAAGGACTTTATTAAAATGTAAAGGCTCCGAATGCAGAATGAAGAACTGACTCTTTTTCATGAGCGTTGTATATGATATGGAATTAAATGTGACTGAAGGTATTTCAGATGAGATGTCCAGGCGGGATCAACAGGTGACGTGGGAGTGTTTAAAGATAGAGACGAACGTCAGTGAGTGCAAAGTCGTGGGGAGTGGGGATGCTTTGGGTTCACACTGGTTGGCTGGAGGTGATGCTGTGTGCAGGGAGAGGACAGGTCAGTGAGCATCCTGCAGGAGTGGAAGGTCTTTACACACAGTCAGCTGAGAGACAGCCAATCCTTTATGGTCATAAAATCATGATAGATAAGGAGAAAAGTTAAAGAGCTCAGGTTCAATTCAGGAAATTCTGTCGACTCTTCTGTGATGATGGTTCAGTTTCTCTTATTCTAGATTCCCTCCATTAGGGTTAAAACATATCACAAGCATCTTTATCGCACTTCCGAGTATATAAAACCTTTTTTTAGCGAATGATAGGGGAGCAACGACAGCCATTTTGACTTGGCGGAGTTTGGAGCCACAGCAGCTCAGCTTTAGCAGAGTTAGAACATTTAAGCATGTACTTCTAGATTAAAATGTTATATTTGATATGGAATTAATAGCTCCATGCTGTACAAAACCGTTTGCTTGATTGGAACAGAGCTGATAATTCCCACAGCATGGCAGATCGGACCCACCTTTAGAGCTCCATCCTCCTTCTGCTTTTGAGTAAGCCCACAGCCAAAGTATGAAGCCACCCTCAGGTAGATTTACAGTCACTCATACAGGAAGTAGATCAGCGAGACAGGCAGGTAAACAGTCCGTAAAGCAGCCAGACAGTCAGAAAAACTGCTAACAGTAGCAGAGTCAACATCTGTTTCCAATCCAACGCCACTAACAAGAAGTGCTGTGTCTTCATCTCAGTATGGGCTCCAGCTGTCACTCAAATCCTCCAAACCACCCAGAGGAGGGACCACGGGGCTCTCTGCCCGTCTCACGGCACATAACTGCCCCCTCTCTCTGCCCCGTGCCCACCCTCCCCCCCCCCGGCCTTTTCTCCGCATTTTGCATCAGAACGCGAACACATGGTCTGCACCTCTGCTGCGGTTTTACCTCCTAATCTCTGAACCACAGACATGTTTTCATCTCAGCGTGAATCTGTGAATCTGTCCTGTCAGTCAGATCTACAGTGAAACCTCAACCCGTGGATGTTTAACTTATAGCTCCTATAACCACTGCACTCTCCCCCCCCCTCTTTTGGCCCACAGCACGTTTTTACCTGATGCTTTACACTCTGCTTTTTCCTCTCAAACTGTCAGAGCTGTAATCTTCTGTACATGGGAACATTACTCTTCAGAAACACAATGTTCTGAGTCTGAGGTGAACACTTTTGGTCCTGCAGCACATCGTTCACATCATTAGACCCCAAAATTCCAGCCTTCAGAGAAAACCTCCCCTTCTGTTTTCCACTGACTGACTTAAGTATTAAGATCAGTTTGATTAATCATTTTTATGCTTGTTTTGTCCAGGTTTCTCTACTTCAAACAATCAGTAATGAGTTGAAAAATAAAAAAACTCTTGAGAAATATCTAATTTAACTCATTTAGGTTTAACCTTCGCAGTTCCCCAGTTTTTTGCCCAGTCACTGGGTCCAGCAATCGGCTGTTTTGCTTTGGGCTGCACAGCTGTTGGATTTGGATCCAAAAGTCCTTTGATAAGGTTTCGATTAGGGGTGTCACATTAAATCTTCATTGATACAAAAAAATAGGTCACATTGATGCTGTGTTGACAAAACACAAATAATGGCATCATGGTTTCATCATAGTTGACACAGACTGGGCTTTTTGTATGGTTTATCCGATATTCAATGAAAAAGAAAAGAGGGGGGAACTCTTCTGAAAGTGTTCACTGAACAATTCCCCGAAGTTCAGTCAAATCTCACATTAATGAGCGTTTACTCTCAGAATGTATTGATGCCAACAGGAAGAACAAAAATAGCTGGTGGTGTAGGGGTGTGTGATGATCCCCTTATCCTATTTAAAATCCTCACCTGCTCATTGTCTACCATCTTATCTACTTTTCTTTCACCAGCTTGTAGTTTAATTCCAAGTTTTAGGTCAAAGCTTGATCTAAAACTACGGCATAAGGCAGTGAGGCTGAGGCACCAGTCACACAGCTTTGTCTTTAGTCGTGGATTAAGTTCTGCTTTTTAAACTTCTACATTGTCCTAAATAGATTAGGTGATGATAGTATTCATTTAAAATTCCAGCCACAACCCCATTTGGGAATAAGCAGTTCTGAAAATGGATGGATGGATGACATTTCAGCATTTTAAGCTTTTCACATCACGTCACACGGCTGTTTCCATTCTGGGTCCTTATAGTAGGAAGGCTGATGGTATATTTATATCACAAGTATAATCACGATCATTACCACAGAACTCCTGATCTCAGTTAATTTTTTATGGACCTGGGAGTCTGGACCACATCTCGATGATCCTCCAAATAGCTGTTGCATAGAAACATAAAGGTCTGGTGCCAGAAAAATAAATAAATAAAAAATAAAAAAGCACACTCACCCCCAAAGTTATTGGGATTACTCTTCTGGGCACGGTGAGTGTCAGTTCAGCATTTCATTCATCAAGCCATGCATTACGAGTAATGACGTGTGAAACACATCCTCCTGGACCAGAGGGAGGCTGACCACCGCCAGCCCCCTCGTCAAGTGAAAGGCCGCGTAGGAGAAATAATTTTTCACCTCTTCATCCATCTTATTAATCCTGAGATTTGTCTGGCAAAACCCCGGGCGTCTGGATCCCCGGCTCAGAAAACAGAGAGCTAGTGTCCTGGCAGAACCAGGGAGGCTTTTGTACAGAGCGGTTTGATTAGAGCTGTCCAACAGATTCCAAGTGGCTGAGTTTAGGAAAGCTGACAGAAAAAAAAAAAGGCTTTCACCGGTGGGGTCTTTCAACTAAATGAGATTCAGAAACTTTTCAACGGCATGTAAGCAGAAGGATCACATATCTGTCATCAATCACCAATTTGTATCCTTAGGGTCGAGACCCCGGCAGGAGGTTGTGGGACGGCTACTACAGGTCAAGTGATTTATGGAGAGTAGAAAAGAAAATGTGCTCAAGTCTATAGAATAAAGATTTTTTAAAGAATTCATTAAACATTTGCAAATAACCAAATAACAAGAAAGAGGTTGAAACTGCTTTTGAATTGTTTTAGTAGGACTTAAAAGTTGTTAAATGTAACTTGTTCTACCTTTTTGGTCAGATTTGTTTGAGTTGCTTAGAGGCTTTGTCCTGGCACGTTAGTTTAATTAGATGAAAATAAGCTTGAGGTACATCAGATTTGAATCCATTCTCATAGCCTGAGTTTCAGTATTTTATATTGTTATATCATTATGTATAATTCTATTACAATCATATTATTAACCATATTGTTTAGCAAAGTCACAAAGAAAGTAATCAACACACTTTTCTTTGGTTGCGATATTCAGTTTGAGCCACTAGAGTTCACTACAAACGGCCCGTAAATACAAAATGAAAATAACCGAGAGCAAAATAATCCTGTACTCACCTTTTATGCCATCGTCCCCAATGGTGAGCTTCTCCATGCTGTTCTCTGCGGTCAGAAGGGCCGGACACTCCTCGGGCCCATGGGCGCTCTGCTGTCACAGATGTTTTGTGACAACATCAGGATTAACTGTGTTAGTCCATGTGGACATGTAAGTGATGGTGGGCATGGACAAAAAACACACACTGTGCCAGTTATAATTAAAAAGGGCAAAAGCAATGCCTCTGAGGTCTGAAATCATGTTAAAGAGCCGTGTAATTTAATTGTTAATTAAACAAAAGTTGGTCTCTGGGATCCAGGTTATTGGTTGAGTCATCTCATCCTTAATGTAACTAAGAAATTGAAAATACTTAGTTTTTTTAACATGTTGAATGTTGGATAAAGTCTCCTGAATGTGCACCCTGTTGCTATGACATTTACCTCCAGTAAATCTGAAAAAAGTTATAGTTATAGTTTGTTACTATCAGGGCTCTTACTGTGAAGGTTTCCTCCAGCGCTTTCGTTCAGTTTTTGGTCATTCAAATGTTCCAGACACTTCTGCTCACCGTCCTCCTCTAGTGAACCCCTTTCGCTTTAGTGGAAATCCATCTTTCAGTCAAATCCTGAGCCAGAGCACAAAGTCAAATGCCACCTTCATGGCTTACAGTTGGTCTACAGTAAGAGGGCCTTGATGGATAATGAATGTTAGCGTGTGTTGCTGTTTGCTCTGCATCCCTGATATGTTATCTGGCCTTGGTGTGTGTGTGTGTGTGCATATATTACTGTAGCTCTCAGTTTGTGTGAATGAGGAGATAATCACCTGTTCCTGAGCGGCAGGTTTCCCACACACACCTTTCTGTTTGGCAAACAGTGAAGACATGCAAGCACAGCTTATTTTGGGCATTTGCTTTTCATCAAGTTATCCAGCTGCTCTGAAACATAAACCTTATTCTTTTTTTTTCTTTCAATGCTCCAATGCTCCCAAACATTAAATCATTCTTCATACTTCTGACTTAAAGAATAATGCCCGTGATGACTTGACTAATTTTTCCATATTGAGGAAAAATGGTTATCTTATAGGTCAGTCAAGTCATCATTAAAGATTTAACTCTGACTAAGATCTGATTTAGTGGCAGCAAAGCCCTGTGTGAATATCTGTGAGCTTATACCCAGCTCAGGTTTCCCACAGTATGATGAGGAAACATGCTATCACAATAGCATACCCATCAGACATCATCACAAAAACTAAAACAAGCAATACTTATCCACGAAAGTAGGATTAAAGCATTTTACTGGCTCCAGGACACATTCAAACCTTTACACAGTATGCTCAAACAGTCTATGCCCATTAAATGAACACAGCTTAAAATTTGAATATGAATGTTATAAAATGCTGAATTGCCATATATTGAGGCTATAAATGGGAAAGAAATCCAAACAAAATGTTAGCTTGTTTAATTTTTTTTTAAACTGAGCATTTTAGACAAATTTATTAAGAAAATGCACAACATCCTATAGAGTTTGACATATTTTATCAGCAGTTTTTTTTTTCTGTTTCAGTCTTTTTTCCCAGTTAAGACCTGTTAAATGGGAGGTGTGTTAATACTAAGTATTATTTATGTAGTGTTGTCTTTCTTAACTCTCAGAGATACAAACTTGTGGGAAATTAAACACCTTTAAGTGTGACCACAATAGTGATCACAACACTAAGCAAATCAGCTTCTTATGAGGCATCAAACCACCAGCTTTATCCATAAATGTTATCCTACAGGCTGGTGCATCTTGCAGGAACTCCGGTTACAGAAGCAGCGCCACAGGCTGCTAAAAACATCACCGAGAGTTACTGTCATTAAAAAAAAAAAAAAATCACTACTGTGTTTTCTATCAGACCGTAGAGCAAAAAAAAGGAAATCTTAGAAACCAAAAACACATACCCGATACAGACAGCATGCAGCTCACATTATTTAGAGCCTCATTTTATTTCAGGTGATGTGAAACAGTTTAAAGTCACATCAGTCGAGCTCAATTGAGGAGGGATGGACAAAGTTTGGAAAGTCTGGAAAAAGAAAGCTTACAAAAAAATGGGTTCGTATTAAAGTATGTTGAGTTCTTTCTCCTGTACTCCGGATAACAACACAAACGTGATTCACTCAGATCTTCTTCCTGAATTTTTAAGAACAATTTAGAATTATTTAACTTATTTGACTTAATTTTCACTTTCAACGTTAGTAAAAAGGTTCATTTGAATCAAACAGGACATGTAAATGACATCAAACAAAGGGACGACGCACCTCTTTTCTTTCTTTTTACTAAAACGATTAATGAGTGTAATCATTAACTTATCAATCAGCACACAGCTGGATCAATTCTCCATTAAATTCCGACGTGAGGCAGCACAAACATCCTGTTTTTCACAATGTGTTCTGCAGAAGCCACACAGGGATCCTGGTGTCAGGTGAGAGTTCCCTGTGTCCTCGGCAGTTTGCAGTTTTACGGAACATCTGGGAGCAGTGCAGGGAGAGCTGGAAAATGCATTAACGTGCTCTTCTCTCCAGGGGGCACTAACAGGAAGTACAGTCCTGACACTGTCGTCTCCCTCTCCTCCTCCAATGAAGAATTGATCACTGATCTGTTGTGTCTTTGATGTGTCCAGATTAACAAAAGTCAACGGCCTTTACATGATGAAGTGGTGTTAAAAAAGTTAGGGTGGATTCAAGGAGAAATGAAGACAGAATTCTATTTTTTGACAGTGAACTGATTAACATTTCTGCAGATTCAGTGCTGTTGGTCTCAGATTTTTGTGCATGGTGCAGTGTTACAATATTGGACTCACTCATCAGAGTAAATTGTGGTTTTGCATGTTAAAGTTTATTTTGATTGACTGAAGGGAGGCAGAATAGACAAAAGAAAAAGATACATTTCATACAATTGTTTAACGTGGCCTCTTCTAATCTGTCATATTCACTACTAAAAAAAGGATAGCGTTCACTTTTTAAACCGAAGACAAACTGACTGTTGAAGGGAAACGTTCTTTGAAGGAAAGGACCAAAACCACATTATAACTTTTACAAAGTCTTCTTCATTAGTACCCTGAATACATAGCAGAGATACAAATGTCCTGATCTGTAAGTGGGCATATTACCTTCTTATGCAAGTCCAGATTGAGTTTGAATTAAGCCCTTTAGATAAGATACATTTTCAAACCCTGTACATGTAAAATGGGACTCCTGGTTTATACTACCACTGTATGCTCTTCCTTATAATTTACTATATTTATGTAACATTTAGAGTTTCTCCTGTTAAGAGCCTAATAAATGCATCATCCAAATAGTTATTTTTTAGTGTTCAGGCTACTATACCACATTACTGAAGCACATCTTGGTACCCACAGCCTGAAATGCTTTGTTTCTGCTCCTGCCTTTTTAAGGACCTCCTCATAATGGCCACAGTGTGCTGATAAAACCTTCCCTCTTAGGAGTGGGTGATGGATCCTACAAAGTTCTCTCACTAAAGTAACATAAACCTAATACGCGCCCAGATTTAGGGACATTTGGAAGATCAATATCTATAACTCACCTTAAAAAACTTTTTTTTCTCCCATACAAATACATGTTTAAAACCTTGTTTTGTTCATTGGATGGTGAAGCTGTGCTCATTATTTGAAGTGAGACACACTGGCCTCTATTGATTGAAAGGTTCAAACTGCATGGACATTTTTTGTTCAGAGAAATATCCAGAGGACTTAACATCACCCACAAAAAAAAATCAAAACGAAACACTGAGGAATGGATTTAGAATGAGTTTAGTTGAACTTGTGTATAATAGAGGAATCAGCTATAACAGAAGTTTGTTTGTTGCATCCCTGCAGTATGAATGCAGGAGATCTGATTATCCTGACTCTCAGAGTCCTTAAAACTTTGTGGGCTGGATGTGCATGTTATTATTTTGTAAGAAAACCTAGACGTGTGTTCTGTGGGAAATGATACTCGACTACCGGGGTATTTTTATTCTAAACTTTTACCCTTCCAGATATTCGTAAAAAAACAAAAAGAAAATGGCCAACAGGAGAGCTTTATTTTCTATCGACTGGACATGAAAAGACTTTTTAACAAGCAGTCTTTGTTTCATCTGTAGTCTTGCACGGACGCCAGCATCAGCATGAACTCCTTCTTTTCGTTCCAAGTGCTTTAATCTAAATAGCTGCTTGACACTTAACAGTACGTGGAATAAAGCGGACCCAAAAAACACACTTAGCTTCTGTTGGGCTTTTTGTATTTAAAGTGTTTTATCTTTCAGATTTGACACTGAGGAATGAGGCGATTCAGTTAATTCACATTTCACTTCAACATGTGAATAGCCTTTTACCAAAAAATGGTGAGGAAGCACACAAATGGAGTTTGTGTAAAGGGATAATTAAAGGAAATAGGATCTCCATTGCTGCATTTAACAGCTAAATTAAATAACTAACTCACAGTCACCACAACTAGCAGGCTCCACCACCATAAAGTCAGGGAAATGTTTCATAAGAAAATATTGGCTTTGAGTTGAATGAGTCTCTGTGTGGATAATTATAGAACATGTGTGGGTCTGTGGAGTCACGTTTAGTGCCGGCAACAAACGTGTGCGTTTGTGCGTCGGCAGCTCCGAGCAGCAGCCGGATCGCGGGGAATTGTTGTTTGGCGACTGTGGGGGAGACAGGAAGGCTCAGGAGGGGGTTGGTTACTGCCGTTAAAGTACAGAAAGTCCTACTGAGGAGTCTTTGTCCGACACACACAAACTAAGGTCTGAAAAAGACTTCTCTGTTAAGCTTCATTGCAGTTTGGAATTAATTTATTTCATTTCTCAAAAATCACAGCACAACATTAATCATTTAAATTATGATTTCTAAGAACTAGAATAATTAAGAAACACAGTGTGATAAGACGTATGAAAGATGCTGATTCTGCTGTTTATTCTCTGTCATGATTCCTCTGAACCGTTCAAACTGAACTCAAATGATGTTCAGTGCTTGTGGCATTTGGCCTTATCCTTTTTATATGATTTTACCTGACTGGAAACAGCAGCAGCTGTAGATAAAGGAGGAAGAAAGGCTTGTTTGCATCCTACACAATGCCCCAACTGCATTGGATCTGGAGTTTATACATTTGTCATCACCCAGGTTTCAAAATGCCAAGTAAAGAGGGATTCCAACATTATTTGGGCAATTATTAGTTGCTAATACTAATATAAACTCACTCAATTCCTTAGAAAAATGTAGATGAATTAATAGTTATTTGTGTCTTTAACAAATTGAAAAAGTCTAGAAGAAAGTGCTGTGATTTAAGTATCTTTTGATGTCAAATCTTACAAGGTTTTCAAAGTTTTCACTGACTAAATAAATAAGTAGTGACGAGGATGATATAATAAGCTAAAAAAAAGTACCTATATTTGTATTCTCTTCTAGTCACACATGCAGTGGAGTCAGACGCCACATCTTCTCAGTCAAATTACTGAATGGATGTGTCAGTGAGCTGGCAAATAAAGCTAACGGCCTGCCTTTTTATAACATGTGGGGAAGACTAAATGGATTCCTTGTGACTGTAACCATGTGTTTGTCGCCCTATAGCTGAAAGTGTGACAACACAACCTGCAAAGCTTATGAAAACAAAACTTCTTATGAACTTATACAAACGTCCCACATTTCTTTGTTAGTTGCTTTGTGAGATAATGTGCTTCATATTTAAGAAAATGGCCCTGAAATGATCTGGTTGACAGGCAGCTGGAGAAAGAAAGTGGCCACAGAGAAAAAGACCAGAAAGAAGAGACACAAACAGAGAAAGTCTTTGTGCTCTGCTGCATTTGTTGACTCACGACTCTGATCTGAGCCTGTGATGATGAGCACAATCTCTGGCCTCCGGTCAAACGGTGATAAAAAGCCAAAAAGACAAGGACTTTACTTTCATGCTGCCTGTTGGACTTGACCGGCCGCCCTGAACATAAACACATTCCAGACATTATCATTACCCACATGCGGCAGAGCTGATAGCCTACAGCCAATCCTGGCGGACTCACAGGCAGATCGGGGGACTCTGTGTGTGTTTACCTCCAGCCCACCATTAGCGGGAATTGCCGTGCACCTTAACCAGGTGTTTTCAGTCAAGTGTTTTATGGCGGGGCAGGATTGGAATGTCCCGCTGCAAACTGACGCCCGCCACGGCCGTTATTACCACTTTACAAACACAGGGGAGCAGGAATTTGCTGGTATTTCTGCACTCTCTAATCACTTCGAGGAGCACGAGCAGATCGAGTGAGAAGAAGTGACTTTATAAAGTGGCCCCTTCATAAAGTCATAAAGTGCTGCCACGTGATGCAAAAAGTACAAACAGAGTTGTTTCCATTTTGTGGATTTGAGCTCTGAGGACATTTTTAAATGACTGCTTTGATGCCACGCACACAAAAAAAAGTCCTAGATCGTTCAGTCCTGGTGCGGTCGTTAGCACAGGCGCCTCACAGCCAGACGGTTCCCGGTTCGAATCCCAGCCTTTGTTGGGTTGATTAGTGGGTTAAAGTTGCTCTTGGGTGTGCATGCCTGTCTGTCTGCACGATGCCCTGTGATGGACCGGCAACCTGGCCCGGGTGTTGTTACCTCTCACCCATTGACGACTGTGATAGGCTCCAGCCCCTCCCACTCCATTGGAAATGAGCATAGAAAATGAAAGTAGTTGTCTGACATTTAAATTTTAGGAGGTTTGCTCTCTATAAGCTGTTTTTTATTGAAAACAATCCGATCACAGCCTTATCCCGACACCATGTGGCACAACTATGTTATTACAACGGTATAACAATCAGGAATATTCATTCGGTTGCATTTTGAGCCATTCCGATTCTTCCCACCGGACCTTTAAAGTGCACAGGCTTGAAACAAACTTTATGTCCAGTCTGTTTCCTTGATGGTAAATCTATCCACCTCAACCGCCTCCATTTACACAATCTGCAATGTTATGCCAATGTGAAGGCATAATCTGCACGAATAAAGGTTCTTCTCTACCTTAATTGTTAGTTGTTGTCATTGAGGCGGAGTATCTTATTTTTGTCTCACAAATAATATTTGGGATTAACATTTCCATACCTAAAGGCAGCAGTTGCCACTAATCTGGTTAGATTGATTTTAGGGGATCAATATTGGTTCACTTTATACTACTCTTAAAAATAATAGTCAATCCCTGTTTTTCTGATGCCTGACATCAAATGTAACCACATAGCCCTCTTCATTTTTCAAAATGCAATTTTAAATGAGTTAAATTGGCCCATTTATTTCCCAGATTCTTAATCCTGGGGTCCAGACTTCCAGTGTCATGCTTTGCTCTCTGCTGCAGCTGTTACTCAATCAACAAATGTTCTCTTCACAGTCTGCTCCTGTTCCAACTGAGCCCCGTCTAGGAACCCACCTGCCCCAACCCGTGTCCCCGGTTTGAAGATGAAACAGCTCAAAGCTTTAAGCGGGTTCCTTTTGCTGACCATGGCTGTCTTCACCAGAGCCAGACCAAAAGCAGGTCAGCCCGTCGACACCGCCAGAACAAAACTGCAGATATACCCAAAACGAATGTGTTAATTAACAGTGTGTTTCATTCTCAAATTTGAAGGCAGAATGAGAATACCACAGCGTTGTGGGTACAGGCATGCTTTGTCAGTTAAGGTGATAATTAACCAGAAACATCACCGTAAACCTTTCTGTACGTCAATTCTGAGAGCTTTTGGAGATATGAATTCTGTATACACAGCCCCGTAGATGTCATTTACATCATAGTCCTCAAACACAGACTCCATAACAAACCCACGTCTCCCTACACTGACGCCAAGTTTCACCTGTTAGGGATTCCAGCATAACTTCAGCCTTTGTGCAGAAGTTCTGGATAAGCGTTAATCCAACCATCCATTTCCAACTCCTAAAGCCACACGCCCAGCGCAGACTCACCTAACACCGCCTCCCTGATCATGTTCCAACATGAGGCCGAGTCAGACAAATTGAAGACAAAAACAGGTGCGCGGTGGCAGCAGAAGTGGAACAGCGAGTACAGGTGGTAAAGTGGTGAAAGTTATACTCACGAGCAGTGAAGGTTTCAGCTGCTGCTTTGTTCAAGACAAATGTAAATCTGCAAAGCACAGACACATTTTTTAAATACTTTTTTCAGCTTTATTACTGGCTAGGTTTCAGCAAACATCCCTCAGACAGAAGGGATTTGTGTGGAGAGACGAGCATTACTCATCATTTCCTATTCTCAAGAGCTTCTTTTCAGCTTATTCTGGTCGTTACCTGGAATTCATTTTTGCTTTGGATTCGTCTAGGTCCTGATCAGAAGTGTAAGTCCGGCCCGGTGGACCTGGTCTTCCTTATCGATAGTTCCCGCAGCGTTCGGCCACATGAGTTTGAGACCATGAGGAAGTTCATGATCGACATCCTGAACACGCTGGACATCGGACCTGACGCCACCAGAGTGGGAGTGGTGCAGTATTCCAGCCAGGTAACCAGGGCCCACAGCATCCACTTTTCCTCAGAGTTGCTTTCCTCAAACTTCAGTTTATCTTGTTTTTTTTTGTTAATAGGCTTCAGCCTTCACTCCCCCACCTCTGTATTTTTATTAATCTGCTAATTTGATCATGAGCTGGTAAAAAAAAGACTATCGTCCCATCCTTGTTGTCAGGTTCGCAGTGAATTCTCTCTGAAGGCCCACAGCAAACTGGACAGCATGGTGAAAGGCATCAATGAGATCATTCCCCTGGCTCAGGGCACCATGACAGGGCTCGCCATCAAATACATGATGAACCAAGCTTTTACCGTCGAACAAGGAGACAGACCCAAGGTACTGCATTACTGCTCCTTTAAACAGAAGTTTTTTGGGACGTTTTGCAAGATTTATCCTGGTATTTTTGTTGTTAAGCCAATTCTTAATCCAACGCATGTGATCGCGGTATCTTTTTTTCCTCCTTTAGGTTCCGAACGTAGCTGTGATAGTGACAGACGGACGTCCTCAGGACCGCGTGGCAGAGGTGGCCGCCGAGGCCAGAGAGAAAGGCATCGAGATCTTCGCCGTGGGGGTGGCCAGAGCTGATATGACCTCGCTAAGGGCCATGGCATCCCCTCCCTTTGAGGATCACGTCTTCCTGGTGGAGAGCTTTGAGCTAATTCACCAGTTTGGCCTGCAGTTTCAAGACAAGCTCTGTGGTAAGACTGCATAAGAGGAAACAAACGGACCAACTATGACAATAGAAAGTGATCACAGAATCAAAAAGTGCATGACCGGGTACTCGAGCAATGCCACATTTTCTGTCCACAACCACATCCAGAGAAGCAGTGCTTGAGCTTGATGAAGACTAGTTTCTAGATTATCTTTATCTTTATGTTGAGATTGATGTTTTTAGGGAAAACAGCGCACAGAAGCTGCACACAATGAAATAATTCTACAGAAGAGCGAAAATGTAAAACTCCCTCTGGCCCAAGAAAACATCAAAGTACAGACTGCAGCTCATAAAACACTCGAACTGTGTGGAGTCATTACTTCTGAAGTTGACATCATGTTTTTTTTAAAGACTCCCACCTGAGACTGGCCTTCACATTTAATTCTACTGCTGGTCTGCTTTTATTTGAAGTTGTCTTAGCATAAGACAAAAAAACCCGAAGCCAAGTTTCTGAAATTGAAATTTCATGCAGTTGGGATTGACTGGGGTAAAGTGGGATTTCTCATGCAATTAAAACACTGCCTGTTGGAAAAAAGAAATCTTGATGCCCATCTCACCCCAAAGTACCAGATACTTTCTCATGACAAACTCCCTAAATCCTTTAAGTGTGAGATATTTCCCCACGCTGCGCCTACTTTAAAACTGGACGGCTACTCTTGAAAAATATGGCTTTGCTCAGTAGGGGATGGAAATAGACAGACAAAGAAAGTATGAAAAATGAAAATAAATGTTGTAATAAATCATGACTAAAAGGATCCAACATGAGCAACGCGTGGATACAATGGCTTACCTCGCACAGCAGGAACCAGGAGTGATGCCTTATTGAGTCCCACAGCCACAGAAAATACATTTATGCATGATTATTGTGGAGTCTGAGAAATAAGACGGATGGTTACATTTCACAGCAACCCATAGATGAACAGTTTGGTTGTGTTTGCTGTAGGTGTGGATCTGTGTCTCGAGTCGGACCACGGCTGTGAGCACATCTGTGAGAGCTCCCCAGGCTCGTACCAGTGCCTCTGCCTGCCTGGATACACTCTGAACGATGACGGGAAAACCTGTGCAGGTGACTAAAATATTGCCAAACTCCGACACGTTCACACTTGGGGAAATATTGTGTTCCTCTCCATTAATGAATATTTCTTTGCAGTCTATAAATTTCAGCATTCACATTTGACATAGTTGTATAAATAGACACAGATAATGGTAAGTTACCTTAACTGTAAGTACATTTAAAACAATCTATTCATTGACTTGAGGAAAGAGGTATGAATATGACAAAAACATCTGGAAAACTTGCTCCTTTTTTATCGATCCTCTGTTACTGGTAATCTTGCGTAATGTGTGTGTGTGTGTGTGTGTGTGTGTCTCAGCCATTGACCTGTGCGCTGAAGGGAAACACGACTGCGAACAAGTGTGCATCAGCTCTCCTGGTTCCTTCACCTGCGACTGTAACAAAGGATACCAACTGAACGACGACAAGAAGACCTGTTCCAGTCAGTCTCACATGCCTGCATGCACATCTGCATAATCACCCAATGCCACTTTAACCAGGAGCTCTCTGCTAATTAATACCTAATGCGTGGTTTGCTTGAATTCGTGCCCAATTCATTCACCCCGATTCCCCTTCTTTCTTTGCTACTTTATTAAATTGCGTGGGTATGCATTGTGTTACTCCATTTACAGTTAAAAAACAGGTATTCTTTAAAATCCTACAATACTATTTAGTGAAATATCCCTTTAATGTTACTTAAAATTGCATGTATCAGTGCAGTCTGAAATCATGATAGTGAATGTGTTCAGGGTGTTCCCAAAGTTCTAGAATAAGGAAGGACTTCCGATGGAACGCATCTTATTATATGGTATAATGTCCAAAACTATATACAATATCAACTATCCAGCAATTCTGACAACTAAGCATGTGATTAATCGACCAGCCACCACCATGCAAAAGGAAATAATACCCTAGAAGCCACAGTTTTGGCCTCTTAACTTTTCCCAACAGCACCCCCTAATGATACTCTAAAGTTTAAAAAAGATCAGCTTTAGTTAGGTCAATTCTCAATCTTTCAGGTTTTCTTTCTGGAAAAATAGTTTATTCTTGAGAAAACATGGAAATTCTCATATTTCTCAGGACTAAAGATTTTGTTTGCATATTCAGGACACCACAATTCAACTGAAAAATAATAAATAAAACTCGATTTCTATCGAGTACTCACCATATAATTAAACTGTGCTCAACATCATGCATCTTCTATGTAGCTGACAAAAAAATGAATCTGCAGCCTCTTGTGATGCAGAAATATACTCTTAGCTCTTAGCTCCCAGCTGATGTTTGCTTCAGGTATTACAAAGAATTAGATGATCTATTTATACATAGGTAATAAAACCCATTAGGAAAAAAAACAAAAATCAAAACAGGCATAGTTTGGACTTAAATTGGCTGTTTCAGCTGACTGACTGTAAATGAAGGGTGACCTAAATGCCATCCAACGCATTTCTCTGCTGGCCGCTTTGCTGCTGATGGGCCTGCTGCTTTCCTCCCCACAGTGATCCAATACTGTTCGTTTGGAAACCACAGCTGTGATCATAACTGTGTGAATGTGCTGGATGGCTATTACTGCACCTGTAAGGAAGGATACAGGCTGCTGGATGATGAGAAAACCTGCCAGGGTAAGTGAGACAGATGGAAACGCGACTGTGATGCCCGCTGCTTTTAGAGTGAATGATCAGATATGATAAACGATCAGTCTAACCCAGCCATTAACATAAATGCATGAGTCAAAGAAGATATTTAACCCCGGCCCTACTGTATGAGTGAAATATGCCATTAACAGCAGGAACCTGTAAAATCAGTCAGATGCAGGTTAACCTCCTCTTTCATTTTCCAGTCTGACAAAGAGTGCTCACATGATGACAATTCAAATACGATAGTTTTTATTTCCCATGCTTTTGATTTTATCATTTACATATTTTGTCATGACAAACTTGGAGCAATTATGAATAATAAGCTACCTCAAAGGAAAAGCAGTGGAGAGGAAAAAAGGCCAGGAACATCAAACAACATCGTGCCGTTTTTCTCACCAGAATTCGTCTGCGTTTCACATCAAAATCAATTTAAACTACAAAAACTTCTCAGAAAAACAAACCTTCATTCACCTGACAGTGGAAACTATTTATTCACATCTTGTCATTCCGGAGATGTTATTCACAACTGGCTCTGGATTAAAAAAAACTCATTAGTTTAATTTCTTTGAAATCAGGGGGTGGATTTATGCTTTAATGACTCAGCATTTTTATCCTTGTGCACACACCTGGTATAGATCAAGCAAACTTCATGTTGTATGCGAGTTAAAGCAAGCGACGGACATATTTGCACAGATTTGCTGCACAGAGACTCATTTACAGATGTTGCAGAAGCTGTTGCACAGGAACACCTGCAGGACACGATCCTGTCGACAGAAATAAGACAATTTACAGTTTTTAGGTAACCCTAAACCATACAAATGTGTGATTATATTGTCAGTTTGGCCTGAAGTTTGGATTCCTAACTTCTGTGTGAATGCAGTTTTTTTTTTCAGACTACTTTAGACAACATATTAGACACGTTTTTCATTGTACTTATTGTGTGTGTGTGTGTGTGTGTCATGTAGCTATTGACCTGTGCGCTGAAGGGAAACATGACTGCGAACAAATCTGTGTCAACATGGCGCCAGGCGTCTTCACCTGCGACTGCAACGAGGGATACTCCCTCAATGAGGACGAAAAGAGCTGCGCACGTTAGTTAGGCGCTGACACAAATACACAGAGACACACACACTGCTGGGTTCAGAAGTTTATTCAGTAAATACATGGTACCTGATTCTTTTAAGCTTCTCAGCTGTGAAGAGAGAGTTTTACACTGTGTATCCTTATTTGTCATTATATTAAATACGAGCTCTTTATATTAGCTAAAAAATTGGTTAAAGACATGTTGTCATCATATGATCCTCTTGCCTTACCTCAGCTTTTGCTTATACACAAAAAAAGAAAACACAAATCAATCAACGGCCATGCTCCATGTTTGAACTAGTAATGAGGAATCCCTGTGTGTGTGTGTGTGTTTTGGGGGGGTTAATTAGCCATTGACCTGTGCGCTGAGGGGAAACACGACTGTGAACAGATCTGCATCAGTGCCCCCGGCGTCTTCACCTGCGACTGCAACAAAGGGTTCAAACTCAACGAGGACAAGAGGACATGCACCAGTCAGTGAACGGTTTTTCTTTTCTTCTTTTGTGTTTCAACCACATGCATTTATAATGCACTGCTCTGAAATTCAAAACATACTTACTTCTTTGTTATCCACTTCTCAAGCGTGCTCAGAAACCCTTTAACCATTCCTACAAACTGAGAAGAACTGTCCCTGAAATCCACAGTTATGCTCCCAAGTACTAACAGACAACAAGGAAGCAACAGCAGGACCTTTGACAAGAGACAAGTCTTTGGACCCTTAAGCATCATTTGATACTTTCTTTTCTGAGAGCAAAGCCACAGTTGACTAAAACACTGAAGATCTCATCACCGCCAAAAGCATAAACTGTAACCAAACAGATATCTAATCAGGCGTAGTTATATCTAAATAAAAACAGAGGACTTCAAGAAGGGTCAAAAGACACATAGTTTTGAGGTTCAACTTTCATGATCACACCCCAGTCACCAGTAGGTGTTACATGGCCCAGTATTAACAAGGTTTTTTAATGGATCTAAGTGGAAAAAGCTAAATGTGAAACACTGATTTGCCTGACTTCAGAGTTAATGATACCTATACAGTAAGTCCTAATCTTTTTTACGTCATTTAGGTACTATGAACAACTTTAGTGATGTGAATATGTTTTCTGTTGCCACTGTAATGGTGAGTTTGGGCAACCATCCTTCAGTTATAAAGTTGTATTAAGAAAACATCTGGAACAATGACTGCGCTGTGTTCTGAAATCCTCTAAAATCTTGTTGGCTAACAGCTAACTGAGGAGAGAAACAAATGCTCATACCTGACCACGCGTACGCATTTATCATCAAATCTATAAAAGCTCCTGGGGTATCAAAAACTCTTAGTTAAAAGTTTTCCTAGTGATAAAAACCTTCTATTTTGTCATATTCGTCACATATCCTACTTTAATCTCATGCTGAAACAAATTATACTCTTTCACTTGTCTTGTGAAATCTCATGCATAACTGTGTCTGTATATCTGTGTGTCAGCATTCGGCCAAAATGTAAATCGTGTTTGTTTCTGTACTCTCAGACATGGAAATGTGCAACACGGTGGAGCATGGCTGCGAGCACCAGTGTGTGAACACACCTGGATCGTACTACTGCATCTGTCCTGAAGGCCAGCTTCTGCAGGACGACGGAAAGGGCTGCGGCAGTGAGTTACAGCTCTCAAACACAACGTGATCCTCTCTCTTTACCATGATACTTCTTTTTTTCTTTCAGCTTTGACCTCTTGACCTCATAGCAGATGCTATCAGACACTGTTAGAAATCTAAAGTAAAATGGTTTTATACATTTCCATCCAATCATGTTCTTATTGTGTAATAGAAAAACTGTAAATGAGTCAATGGGACTGTCAGAACAAAATTGTAAAAACATTTAATTAAATATGTATCTCATATATCTTTTAAAAAAAAGCTAAAATGCATGCCAAATAAAAGCTCGGGTCTCAGGAGGTTAATGTTTTAAGATCTTAAAACGTGAACACTCGAAATGTTTTGGAATTCTTGGATGTTTTTCAGAGCATAAACGCATCAGGTCAGGCACTGTGCGAAGAACAGCGTTCCTCTAAAGACATAAATAGAATAGTTGATTAACAGTATTTTGGCCTAGCTTTAACCCGCTGCATTTTAATGGGACTGAAGTTAAATTTGTTTGATTTTCAGCCATCTCATCAGATCAGATTGGAGTCGTTTAAAGACCTTGTTTTTTTTTTTAGATAGATATCAATGTAACATCCCCCTGAATGGTAGGCTGCAGGTTTTCCCATTGCAACAAAAGAAGGTGCTTTGCACTTCAACTGTCAGCGCTTTCAGTGTTGTGATTTATTAGTGTGCGTTGCCATAGCGACTTTTTTTTTTTTTTTTGCAATACCAAAAGGCTTTGCAACCATATAGTTTTTCCTCACATGAGACAAAAACAGAGACGCTTACGCCTCTGACCTGAAATGAAGATGTTTGAAAGAATGAAGCTGTGCTCACACTGATGTTTAAAGCAGCTTAGTTATGTCTGGGAAAATTTGGCTGGAATCAGATTATGAGCTTCTTTCATACTTTCTGTTCCTCAGGGGAGGATAAGACAAATCCAAAAATTGTGGTTCTGGTCATCAAATGATGCCCGCATGATACTTTAAGGCAGAATATGATCTGTATTGTTTAATAAAGTTTTAATGTGGAGGCTTTCTTCTGTCTGACTAAATAAACAGTGGCTCAATTAATCGATTGACAAGAATCTGAAAGATTGAAATGGAAATCCATATTTCATATCAATAACACTACATAAACAATTAGATTTTTGTATGCATTCAGTCCAGTAGAATAATAGGACAGATACAGAGTGATAAGTGAAATGTAAATATATCATCTCCACAGACATTTCACTCAAAATTTTGCCGAATAAAAACGTCCAAAATACTGGCAAGATATGACATTATAGTACATTTCATAACATTTCTTTTAGGTTGTTACCCTTCATTATATATTGTCTGTTATCCAAAAGCTATATAGGCGTGACTTTTTGATTTACATTTGTTATCTGTTCAGTATCTATTCTTCTTTTTTTGTTTTATGACATGTTTCCAGCTCAAAAAACATCAAAATTCTCCCCTAACCTGTCCCTCTCTTTCTTCTCTCCCTCTTTAGCCTGTAAGTCTGCCAACATCGACCTGGTGCTTCTGATTGACGGCTCCAAGAGCGTCCGCCCTCAGAACTTTGAGCTCGTCAAAAAGTTTGTTAACCAGGTAGAGCAGAACCTTTTGACACAGCGTGACTCATAAAGAAAACACATTTTAACATATGCCGACCGTTGTGATTTGTGAGTTATTTATTAGAATATGATCAGCCTCTATTTTTTTCCTTTATAAAAATAACAGAATTATACAGAAAAATACAGCGCAAAGTGTTCATGTTCTTTGTATCGGATGAATGTGGCGCTCCTCCTCCTCCTGTGCTCCAGGTTGTGGACTCCCTGGACGTGTCCGCTCACGGCACCAGAGTCGGTCTGGCTCAGTACTCCAGCCGGGTCAGAACAGAGTTCCCGCTCAACATGTACCACACCGCTGAGGAGATCAAAGCGGCGGTCATGAAGGTAACAGCGGGAGCACAAACTGTATGAATTGAACTTTTATTAAGCCCGTAACGCCAGACTTATCGCAATCTATCGCAGCAATTAAAAAGCAAAGCTATTTAACTCGCCAGCCTTTTAATCCCCTCCAGGCTCAAATTGAGCAAAGTGTCCATAGTTTGGCAGATAAAGATCAAAAGCGCCTGCTGTTTTAAAAAGCTGAGCTAAGAAGGCACAGTCATGTGAGAAAGACATCTCTCTTTCAGGTCTAAGGTTGAATTTATCAGGACTTAATCCCGAAGGATTTGATCCGGACAAAGTTTGGAAGTAAATAGAAAACTCAGAATAAAAAGAGCACATTTTTATGTATTTTAAAAAACACTAAGTGAAAATGCAGAAAGTGCTGCCTAACTGTTGTTTACCTGGGGCTATTAAGGGCCAGATGGCTTTTTAACATTAGACTGGAAGATGTTTGTTGTTTGTTTCTTTATTTCGCAACTCCAGACCACATTTTTGCCTTTAGGTGGAATACATGGAGAAAGGCACCATGACAGGTCTGGCCCTGAAGCACATGCTGGAAAACAGCTTCTCTGCTGAGGAGGGGGCTCGGCCGGCCAGCCGCAACATCCCCCGGGTGGGGCTGGTTTTCACCGACGGGCGGTCCCAGGACGACATCAGCGAGTACGCCAAGAAGGCCAAAGAAGCAGGTGAGGGAGAGCCTGAGGGCCTGACGGTCAGCGGCCTGAGGGCTCCGTCCACCCACCGGTCACTAACACCTGCCCTCATGCGCAGGCATCACCATGTACGCCGTGGGCGTGGGGAAGGCCGTGGAGGACGAGCTGCGCGAGATCGCGTCGGAGCCCGTGGAGAAGCATTTCTACTACACCACCGACTTCAGCGCCATCAGCACCATCGCCGAGAACCTCAAACTCAACGTCTGCCCAGGTACGAAACCCGGGCCCTAACGCAACGCTTCAGATGCTCACTCCCGGGTCCTGACTCTGGTCAAAGTCAGTGGCAAAAAACACTGGCTGATACAAACACATCCTGCTTTAATGTGAGCATTTACCATCCAACGGGTAAGTCGCAAACTGGAAGTAGTACAGCTTTCATTTTCATTGCTTTCTCCGAAGATCTTTAGTACTTCCCAAGGATTTTGCAGGGGTTTCCGGACCTGTCTTAGACACTAAGTACTTTTGGTTAGATTAAAGAAAGTATTGTGGTTTGGCATCCAATACCAGTACAATTAGACATTGCATAATTCTTCAGAATTGTATTTATTTACCACGTTGAATGACTTTTCTTTGTGTTTTTAAGTCCACCACCTCCAGACTGCATTTATATTCGAGTCATTTGAGTGAAAAAAGGGTAAAGAAAATAACTTGACTGGTTTTATCATGAGGATAACTTGTCGTTTGCTGCCATCTAGTGACGGAAGCTCAACATCACAGCACACAGCAAATTTATGCTGCAACGAGCCGTCTGTGCGACATGACGCACCCCAGAATGGTGTGAGTGAAATGTGCATGTCCCCCTCTACAGAGGAGAGTCAGGGGGAGATCGAGGTGAAGGATCCGTGTGCTTGTGAGAACCTGGTGGAGTTCCAGCAGGCCACCATGAACAGCCTGGAACAGCTCACACAGAAACATATCCTTTAAGTGAAAAAAAAACACGCTGAGGACCTGCCATGTTAGTGAGGCCTTGGCTCTCCATCTGAAGGCCTGGAACTCTAAATGTAATGCAGCAGTTCACCTGCAGAGCAAGTTTTTTCTTATGTCCTGCTAATGTTTTTGCAGCTTTATTGGAATATTTTCCCACAGAAGAGCAGGGGCACTCTAAACCCGAACGATGTTAGGTTTAGCCTCAAAATGAGTTTCTACAGATAGATTTTTTGCATTACAGGCACAGCAACAGCTAGCATTTAAAAAGTTTTTCCAGGCCTAAAAGTTTGCATAGTTTGTGCATTTTGATATGGAAGTTCTGCTGAAATTAAGCAGACATCAACAAAGAAATGAAAGTCAATATAAAAGCCAGAATCCTGTGTTTTTCTTTTGTAGTTTGCATTTTCCACGAGAACCCGACTTTTCAGGTTCTGGTCTGTATTTATTCCCCTTTTTTTTGCCATTTGTCTTATTTCTCGTCATTATAGCCTTGATGGATGTTTAAGCTTGTATTTCCATACAGGAGTCTCCTCATTTTTCCCTAACCCGCTGTTCACTGGCCGGGATGACCGCCCGTCTGGAGCAACTGGAGAACCAGCTTCTCTCCGAGAAGTGATCCGGCCGTCTTTAGGAGCAAAAAGAAAGAAAACAAAACGGCACAGAAGAAGAACAGTGAAAAAGAAGAGAAGGGCACATCACAACAAAACCATGAAGCCATTAAGGCCTGAGTGTGTGTGCACTCCTAAGGTTTAAATTTAACGCAACCTTTGTGGCCTTTGGTGGATCTGATACTCTTCGTCCCCATAGGAGTATAAGAATTTTACCAAAGTTTGTGATATAGAATCAAGTTTCCTTTGCAGTTATAGATGGCGTGGCACCACACGCACTTTCCCATCCAGCTTTTAACAAGAGTTCAAGGATGGACAAACAATTCTTCCTTTTTTTCATGGTTTAGAAGTGCCAGTAAGCCCAAAATACATTCCAAATGCTCCTTACTGACCTCTTTGCAGCAGTTGTTTCCACACTTGTGCACAAAGAGTAGTTCAGCCATGTTTAACTGTCTTTGTGCACCAAATGTGAAGGGTGTTTTGTACATTTTAGACGCGAGCACGAGTCATGACCACAGTTGCAGGTTTTGCCTGAACAAATTGTCATGGTTATAGTCACAACCCATTTCTCTTCTGAGTGCTCCATTTATACCTCATCTGTTCGCTAATTATGAAGTATTTATAGCATGATTTAAAAACAAAAACAACAACAGCAACAGCATACTGATAAAGAAGTTGTAGAAGGAAGACAGGAAAAAAAAATGTATCATCTCATTACCACTTTAATATTACCCTGGTTTGGAGCATTTTAAGTTGAAAGAATTTCTAATGTATTTGTTGTCATCGGTCTGTAGTTTTGGATGAATAACAAAAAACGGAGTTACTTTAAGTACTTTAAGTTACTTTAAGCACCGAAAGCTGTGGTTTGCTGACAAGAGAAGAAAAAAGTGATCACGGATCAAGGAATCATTACTCAGCGCTCCACTAATAACAAACTTGACTTTTGTTTCACACATCAGAAGTCCTCTTCACTTTGCATTTATATCTGTTTTAGGTAGTTAAAAAATAGCACACATCCCCTCTTTTTGTAAATGCGTTCAGACTGTCCCTGTCAAAAAAACAACCGAAAGGAAAGGCAGGATTATTAAATCTGTTAAATAAGACCGATATGAAATACTGCCTCAGTTGTATCGTCAGTCTTATGAAACTTTGCTGTAAATGGATATTAATGCCTCGTGCTTGTGTAGGATGTCGAGCTCTTACGGCTTGCAGCTTTCTGTTTTGTATTAAAAGACCACCATAGATTTTCTATCCATTAATATTTGGATCCCTGTATGTTTTTGTATATTTTCTTATAGCAACACTTTTTTTTGTATTTTTCTAACAAAACTCTGTATTACAGCACAGGAGGCAATAAAGGAGTGAACGTTTATTTCCTCTCTCTTGTTTATGCACACCAATGTGTTTCCTTACAGTTTTATCCTTTCAGATTGGTGATTATTAGCAAATGCATTTGTGAGTTATGAACAAACACGTTCAAAGTGACCAGCTTATAACAGATTACTTTCATCACGCTTACATCCAAGAGAGCATTACCCGGAGGAGTTTCTGTGATTTTTCCCTTATGGAAACAGATGTGTGGACAGAATATTTCTACAAGGCTGCAGAAAGCTGGGAGGCTTAAAAAATTGGGGCCATAAACAACAATGATGTTAACGTCCTGAATTATTAATCTTATCAATAAAACTCTCAAAACAGCCGCAGTTTACCAAAGTCCTATATTCAACATTATCATCCCAGTAGAACAATAACAAAAAAAGTAATATGGAAAAGTTTGGTCTTTTATATGAGAAACAAATATGTCGACGATGTATTTGAAGCCCAGACAAAGACGCAAAAAATCCTCAACTTGATGTGTTTAGATTTCTAAAGATGAGTGTATTGATTTTAGTAGCAACACAACAGCTTGAATAGAAATTTACACAAAAAAGGTCTTCTTCTCCAAAGAAACAAACCATCAAGCCGTCCTCTGCTAAAAATCACTGTAATTAATGTGCTGGTGGGGCATAATAACTCAGTAGTTATCACATTAATGCAGGCCTATGAACTGGGTTTGGATAGTTCACAGTTATCCACTGAATTTTCCCACAAATGAGATGCACCATCATTACAGACACCAATATATTCAAAGATATTTACACTACGAAGAGCTGCAAAATGATAGTTTTTGGCTATAACTACAAATTTCACGCCTCTGGCCTGCACTTGAACCCACGCTGGGAGCCACAAAAGTCATCAAGATCAGTGTATGTAGGCGTTTTGTATCGATCTTCTCTCCTTTTGTTTGTTCACTTTTGGGTGTTTTTTCACTCATTAAGCTCCATCTACATTTTTTGGGCGCTTATGTTAAAAACTGGTTTTCATACAACTTATCTATGTTATATTTGACCTTCTTGCACTGTGAGCTTTTTCCTCCCTGTAGTGGCCTAATAGTTATCTCACTAGTAAGCTCAGGATATGTTTCTGAAATGATTGCACATTTCTTTAAATGTCCAGTTATTCTCATTATTACTGAAAAGGAGGTTAAAGAATAGGCACACCATTTCCACTCGATCTGCTGTTTGCTGCTAAAGCTGTAATACAGTTAAACAGAACACCACTAGCTTCAGAGAAAACGTTATAAGTGAGGAGTAAATCAAACTTTAATTAACTTTGAGTGGCCTTACTGCTTAAAGTTGCTGTTACAAATCTTTGCTCCCTGCAGAGAGAAGTAAGTTTTGTTTTTGACATGCGGACGTGCAGCTGAGTGACACCCAGACGGGGCTGTGGTAATTCCTCCCGGGTCGTGCGATTAAAGAGCAGCTCCACGGGGATGGCTCACTGTGGGCATCATTACCGTCGGTGACCTTTGCTACGTTCTCTCAGCAGACCGTGATGCAAGACCCGTTTGTTTCCGGCGGCGGCTCTCTTTCGAACAAACAAGACCTGAAAAACAACGATGGTGCCAAAGTTTGCGCGCAAAGTTTTTCATGAAGATGGATGTTTTTCAAATGGAGCAAAGCTGCACGATTAATGAAGAGCCGAAACATTATGGCGTGCCATGCTGAGCAGGGGTGCACGAGGCTGCAAACCTGACTGAAAATTCAATTCCTGGAAATTGTAAAGTGCGTATTTGTTGCACAAATGTTCCTTTTTTTTTAAAAAAAAAGAAAGAAAAGGAAAGAAATATGGGCAGAAAGAGGTGAAATAAAACCAAAGGGTTTTCACGTGGCCTGGAGCTACAAAGCACTCCTTTATGGTGATTTGGTCTTTTTTTTCTTCAAGTTTGAGCCCCTGCCGATAGTTTCCTTTGAAAGTTTTGTGAAATAATACACCCAAAGCGACATTCAGCAAATATTTGAAGAGGCCATGCGTTTCTTTTTGAGTGGGAAGTGATAAAGTTACAAGAAAAGTTAAGTTAGATCCACTATTTAGTTTAATCAAATTGCAGTTTGTCATAAAGCCGCTCTCTTGATAGATTTGCCCAACGTCCGCGTCTCAAGAGGTGAAACATTTTGAAAGTGACCTTTTTCATGTCGTAAACGTAATCACCCGCTCTCCACTGATGAGCTCTCAGAAGATGTGTCTAATAGATCCCTTTGATGCAGCGTGTGTGTGCAGTGCATGCTGGGAGCTGCACAACAACCTACCCCTTGTGTGTGTGTGACCTTCCCCACTCAGGCCTTGTGAGAGTTGATGAGGTGACTGAATACACAGAGGAGCGCTGAAAAAATCAGAATGTCCCAAATGTAACCTCTGTGGAAAAGGCTTCGATGTGTTTACAGAAAATCCAAAGAAGGAAACGCAATGCTGTTGGAGCCATTCAAGACAGAAAAACGCCAAAATATTACAGGTTTTAGTTTGATGGGGTCACCTAGCTTCACTCTGCTCCATAACCCAACACAACTGTCAATCAGTAACACCAAAGTAGCAGAAATTCCCTAAATGTCCAGAGTTTTTTTTAAAGGCCAACGAAACATATTTTCAATATTAGGCAGGCAGTGAAGAGTAAATCCAGACTTATGTCATGGCCTTCTGTTGTTCCACCTAAATCTGATAAAATAAAATCTGATGTTTTATCTACAATATTCCAGTCAAACAAACATTTACCACATGTCCTCAAATGAAGGAACAGTTTACCTCTCAGTTTATTTAAAAAGTTTGTTTTTAAAAATCACATAATAAACACCAAGTAAAGGATTCATACATCATTTTGTATAAGAAAACCAGATCCACTCAATTGTGGGTGCCAAGCCAGATTGAGTGCTAGCAGGACTTTAATTCTAAGAAAAAATAATTATGACCCTTCTAGCTCACTTGGTTTGGTTAAGATCATTTATGATGGATTTGCTAATTGCATCCCACATTTCTTGTTTTTTCTTTTTGGACAAAAATAGTTTTAAATAGGGACGCACTGTGGTGTGGTTCTGAAGGTTCCAGAAGGTTCTGGGTTCATGTTTCCGGGTGAACCAGGCCCTTTCTTTATGGAGTTTGCATGTTCTCCCTGTGTCTCTGTGGGTTCTCTCTGGGTTCTCTGGCTTCCTCCCACCGTACAAAAACCTGCATGTTAGGCTGATTGGACATTCAGAATTGCCCTTAGGAGTGAGTGTGTGTGTGAGTATGTGTGGTTGTTGGCCCTTGTGTGTCTCTGTGTGGCTCTGTGATGGACTGGTGGACCTACCAGGGTGGATGGATGGATAGTTCTATATATCACCCTAAAATTAGCAAAACAACCAAAACCAATCAAAGTGATTGTTAATAAAGATTAAATCTGTGCACTAAATGCGTCTTTGTTATATTTCCACAATGTCAACGCTAACCGACAGACACACATTTAAAGTTTAGGATCACATTGTAGATGACGGTAAAATTGAAGAATTTAGATACGTTTTATTGTGAGGTGAACGCAGATATCTGCCCTTCATTTTACAGCGACTTGTTTGTCAGAACCTAACCCAAAGTGGTTCAAAAATGCTTCTGCTTTCAACGCAATCGTGTATTTCCCGTCAATCTGCACAAACATTTTCTTGTTTCTGCTCCTCCTTTTTGTAAGATTCAATTAAATGCGGCCCGGTAAATTTCACACAATCTTGTGAGAAAATAAAGCATTCTTGGAGTCTTCCAACTTCCAATCACGCTGCATTGTAACTGAAAAAATCTGTAAGTGTGGTAAAGTACACGTGCACAGACACACACATTTGCGCACCCACGCATTTGGGTCCTTCGGTGATTACGGAACAAACTACTTAAAGACTGAAATCACAATGCTGGTGGTCTGAACTTAGCCAGGTAGGTTCTGTGCAGAGATTCTGGTGAAGTCCTGTTGTATGTTTTGAAAGAGGCTGATAATGTATATGGACACTGGTGGCATGTTCTATACGGAAGATGATCGTCTTCAATTTAACAAAATTTAGATTTTGGAAATGCTTTCCATGACTCCTTTCTTTTAACTAAACATTTAACTTTTTAAACTTTTTTAAACTTGTTAAAATATCTATCTATCTATCTATCTATCTATCTATCTATCTATCTATCTATCTATCTATCTATCTAT